CCCATGTCCGAACATTGGATCGCGTGCGGTTCCAATCGATTTATTGACACTGAGTAAATATATAATCGTAGTTCTCCCCGGTGTTTGCTCAGTCTTAATGGATAATGCTATTAATTGAAGCTCAGCTTTCACCGCGGATGAACTAAACAAATAAACAGATAACTACTTCAAATAGACTCTTTTTTACTGTTTTCCGCGTTGCCAGAGATCATGTCTCAACGATCTCTCTCACTCCGGGAAACTGATATACGCTTCAGTGAGTCCCGGATTTGGCTCAGATCTTGCAAGTAATAAGTAAGGAACAGTGCGAGTTATCAGCAATTTGCATATTTCACTATATCCGGAGTTTCTAAGTAAATTATTGAAAAAATTGAAAGTTTATCTCGCAAAGCACAAAACGTTTGTTGTACTTGGCCCCAGCCCCAGTTTAGTACCTTATCTTGGCCTGGCTATCACGGCGAATGAGTTACGTCAATCTGATATAGTGCGTTCAGAATTTATTTACAGATTTTCAGCGCAAGTTTTGATTTCCTCGTCAAGAATATCCCCATACGTGTTCTTCTGTTTCAGTTTCTCTTTGTGCAACCATTAATCATGCACTATCGTTGGCCGGTTTTGGTTGCTGTCTCTTCGCGCCCCATTTGGATGAACAGAAGGATAAAAACAGGAAAGGGTGGAAGTAGCATCAAAGAGAAAAGTTAGAATTTCAGTGGACTAAGGTTGCAAAGAAATTGACAAGATGCACGAATTCCACTGTCTACGATATCCAGCCATATGACTCAGTGTCTCTAACCATCGGCTACGATCATCCCGAGGTCCCCATCTAGGTAGCCTAACGGGACATATGTGACCCAGAACTCCTGGTTATAGTTTTCATAGCTTCGTGCCAGGAATAAGCTTGACCACTCTTTATTTATTCCACCCACTACATGCCTCGGCTAACAGCGCTCGCCGTGTCAGCCGTGTCTGGTGACATGCGCAACACATGCACCAACCAACGTAATCTACGGAGGTCGACCATTTGCTCCAGTGGGCGACCGCATTTACCTGAAATTCTGTGCCTAACCTCAGCATTGATCGTCCGGTTTCCCTATCAGATTCGTGCAATCCTGCGTAGACAGCGGTGTTCAAACACCGACAGTCTATCTTCATGCTGTTTTCCTGTTTTCCTGTTCCTGCGCCGTACAGTAGAACTGGCCGAACTGCTGCAGCAAACACTCGACCCTTCACGGACAGCCGGATATCGCCACGGCGTCACAGATGTCTCAAGTTGGCAAATGCCGACCGAGTCTAGTGAACGCGAGCTGACACTTCATTTGTGATGCGTCCACCGGGTGAGATGTAGCTGCCCAAATAGCAAAACTTGTCTACTTGCTCCATTACTTCCCCAGTTAGAGTGGGGCTGAGTGCTGAATCAACTCAGTCTTGTTATAACATTTTTCACTTTGCAATTGCAAAACGCATACGGCTACGCTGGCACTCAAGCTATCTTAAAAAGCTTGCAATTTGCCTGGATCTTCGCCTAGCAACAACACAATGTCGTCTGCATACAGACAGACAAACAGTCTGCCACTTGGGAGTAAATCGATGCCACTATCCTCACACGAGGATAGAGCTGTCTCCATAATCAGATCTATAACAAGCCTAATCGGGAAATATAGAAAGGGAACCCTGTCGAACACCACTTTGCATGACGAACTGGGTCGCGACATTGCCGTAAGCTCGGACTCCACTTTGACTATTAGTATAAAGGGATGGTAGTATTGAAAAAAACATCTCAGGCACAGCTTTCATGGAAAGGCAGCACCATAATTTAAAGTGGCCGACTGAGTCGAAAGCCGTTTTCAGATCGAGGCAGACAGAGATGGTGGGTCTACAAAAAGAATGTCGATGCTCCAGAATTTGGCGAGTAGTGAAGATGTGGTCGATACAACCTAGTTCTCATTCATGCGAGGAGTTTAGAATGCCTTCGCTCAATCGCGTTGATAGTTTTCACTTAAACATCTGTCTCTAGTGCTGCTGCACTGACGATTGGTTTCCCTATTCAGATTATGTACTCTATGTTTGTTTTGTTCTGTAAAAGACTAAAATTCTGCTTACTATGCTGTGTTTCAGTCAATTAAGGAGCAAAGCTTTCCTTTTCCGGTGAGTGTAGCTGAAAGAAGAGCTACTAGTTCCGTGAAAGATCCGAAACTCACTTCCAACTTACGTTTTGCAGCTCATCCGCGTGTGGTCGATTCCCTTCAAACTCTGTGTCGCACACAAAGTCACTAAGGGTTAGCCATTCATATTATGTTGGCTGTTCCTCGACTGTCACGCCACCATTTTTCAATCTCCCCGCTTTTTTCATCAAGAACAGTGAAAACACACCGCCTCCAACTGTTTTCTCCACGGGTACCGAACTGAGCATTAATCAAGAGCGGAATTAATAGAATTTTTTTTCTCCACCTAACAATAGTATTCTTTGCATGGGATTAGCCTCTGTTTGACGGCATCCCCTATTTGTGTAATACATGTGGAATAGATTAGTTGAACCAGTTGAAACGCTGCATCGCAAACTCGAGTTTTCGAGAATAAACTGGTCTCAAAACCGATAAATCACTAAAAACGTACGTAATGTATTTGGTGGATGGGAAGTGAAAAACCTTATTAGGATGGTTAACAGCGATTCAGTAGTAGTACAAGACATTTTTATTTTCTTCCGAGATTCATTGAATTTTCTTCTGTGTGGGGAGCAAACGCCTGGTGTTTACAAGAACTGAGGAACAACAGATGGGGTAAAGCCACTAGGACTACTGAACAAATTAGTCTGTGCATCCGAACTAGATGTGAACCTAGCCTAATGCCTGATTGTGCTCCGTTTTCTCGTGTGACACAACCAGTTCGCCGAATTCCAATACAAATAAGAAGCTTTTTCTGCAGCGGGAAAACTTGTTCCACTATGATTGGAACGAAACTGATTTGGGACATGGAAACCTTATGGGTCATAGTTTGGATTGCTCTGAAAAATGTGTTCAATCACGACTGACTGAGATCCTTAGATCTACACTGCCTTTGTAGCCCTCTGGGAGGGGGAGGCAGGGAGTCATTCTGATAGGGAAAAGTGGAGCCACGTTGCTGGGTGCTAGTTGTGTCAGATGTTTCACTGAACTAATACCTTTTGAAGCAAATCACCCCGGTGCGCATTCATCTGTGCACGGTCTCGCTTTTGCCGTGGTGTTTTGATTGCCATTGCCGTATAAAGAAATAAACTTTCATCTTAGTTCAATCACTTCTCGTTCCTTTAATTTTGCCAGATAAAAATAAACGTGTGTTGCAACTCATTTTTGAGGACACATCAACCATTTGTTGAGGCCACAGACTGAAATTATAAGTTTGATCTTTACTTGGGATTGCCGTGAATAGTGTTATTCGCGAATACAGTGAGACTCAATTCACTCAAACCGAATCGAACCATCAGACGAGTCGTTATCTGCGGTGGTCTCGTGAGAGGCAAAGAATGCCGTAGCGCGTCTCCCGTTTGTAATATGCGGTCGATTTGAAACATGGGGGAGGGGCTTGCACTGCGTACAATCTAATTTTTGCCACCCCTCTCTTCGATCAAATCAATCGTTGCACTCCGCGCCGAATCAGACCACTTTTGATTGTTACGTGTACATGCTCGCTGTTCATTGTCCACTGTCCTCACGAGAATTGCTCTCGGGTGTTATTATACACGGATTATTTCGCGACAAATAATGAATTAAGTGATTTATTTATAATAAGTCAAACTTAACTTCACCTGAAACTCAACTAGTTATTTAAGGACCATTGGACATTAAAGTTGTACCTTGATTATTGTATTATAATTTTGTACAAGATCAGCTACATCTAATATCTGCATTTTCTGGATCACTATTCGATTTTTGACGGTTTGATCGTCTAAAATTTACTTTCCTGAGATGCAAATGCGGCTACTAGGATGAGGACCACCTCGAGGATATACATACTAGAATGAATGAACATAATTCCAAATATTATGATACATCCCACTTTTTCATGGTTTGTGAACCACTAATCTTCGATGTCACATGCGCGCAAATACAGATCGATTGCGGACGATTAATGCTTATGCAACTCAAGGTCTATTGCTACAGAGATTCATTATTATCGACCTAGGATTCCGGAAATAAGTTTGTGTCTTTAACTTCCATTCTTTTGGTGTAACCGCCTGATTTCAGGTCAACCGAACGAATGCAGCAGTCTATCCACCTCAGATATGTCCACTTTGGGCATGATGCGTTCGGCCGCGGCCCCGCATCGTCTGTCTTATTCCGATCGAAGCAGCTCTTCCTGTGTGTACGCGGAATTGGCTCTGATGGATCCGTATTTGAACAGTGTTGTACAACCACGAAAAGATCTATCGCGATCTCCGAATCACATTCCCGGCCAGTTTACCGATACACAAACGGAATCGTGTGCACCGTCCACTCATCGACTTATTCGGGCCGGGAATCGAACCAGCTACACGAAACGGAAACAGCGGACGCACCGAGAAATCACAAATCCACTTTTCGAAACGGAATTTACTGCAATGAAAGCGGCCGGAGTGCATCCATATGTGGTCACACTGATTGGTCGTTGCACATTTCCAGGTATGCAAAATAACAGCCCGGTGGGGGGGGGTGGTTGGTTTTAAATCAGCAAATCTAACGAGAACATGTTGAGTGCAACTGTTCCCCGTTTGATCTAAAGTTGGATGATAACTGGTGGATGGTTTTATACCAACTGTTGCTCGTATTAAATTGTTTCATGTAAAATAAACTATTTTTAGTAAGAAAAGTTGTAAATATCCTTGGGAAAGGTAGCTATTTTATCCGAAAACCATCGTACGAATGTTTCTATTTATCCCCGCACCCTTTAGTTGTACGCTGAAAGACCGCCTACCTCATTCACGCGCACACACTTCACAACCAGCCCATTCCCGTTCCCGTCGACGAATAAACACCATCTTTGGCTTGCATTCTCAGGCACTGTAAGAACGCACTAATTAATCTGTGAATGAACACTGCTCGTGGGTTCATTTGTCCTTCGCGATGCCATCGCAGTGGCACTTGCACGTGTGTGGTCTTTGAAAGTCCATCGGCTGTTTTAATCTAGAGGAATAGAATCAGTTAACGGAGGCTCCCTGTGTGTGTGTGTGTGTGTGTGTGTGTGTGTGTGTGTGTGTGTGTGTGTGTACGCGCCTAGCGGATGGAAGTAGGCATCGGCATGTACGATGGTGGATATTGAATGCACAATTTGAGCGTTGAATCTTTCGAGTGTCAATGTTGCTGGCTATTACAAAAATAACTGCTGAGTGCCGTTGGAAAAAACGATTGCTAAACCTTTGTGTTCAAGTGAAGATATGTTATTTGTACAAGACCCCAGTTTCCTCAAGGGAGGTTACGTGTCGATTCGGTTGAAGGTGGACATTGGTGGACATCTTTTGGGACAGTAATTCGGTCGTAAAACGTGGTCGCTTAGACTGTGTATAATGTGCTTGAACCTCCCTCAGAGTCACATCAGTTAGCATCATTGGACATTGGAGCCCAAAGCAGACATAGATGCAACATCCCTAAAGCACGAAAATGACTGCGTTCGTAGTTTACTGAAGTACCAGTCACATTTATAAGATGATGGACAGTGGTAGTCCGATAGTGACGTAACCCGATTACCACCCCGAAGGATGTGTGTTCGCATCCAACCACCACCACCACTGTCTACCCTCCCGCTCTCTGTGTTGTATGGTAGTCCTTTGTATACAGAATTAAAGGAAGTAAAAATGATTGAGTATGAAAATATTCCAGCAATTATTGCAATCGAAGCTACACTATATGCTCCAGAACAATCGTGTGTGTGTGGAATTAATAGCCAAAATCGAAAAATTGAAAACAAACCATGTTCACACAGAAGAATAGAAACAAGTGAGAGACAGCTCTGAAAAATGTCTGTATTAAAAAGTGATTAACAGAGTAGAACATCGCACAGAAACCCTTGGTCGGCGATCCGGGTTCTGGTATGGTTTTGCTGTTCTCCGAAAGAATGGATTTGAACACTGTCGGTCAGGGAACAAATCTGGCCGACCCCGACGACAGTTGACAAATACCAGGGAGCGGTGTTCAGTATTTGACGTAAGTTCGAACCGTTGTAATAGTTTTCCGCTGGACTGAGCTGACCGACGCTTAATTGTACAATAAAATGTTACAACTGTGATTTTGTTAACTATTATTTACTGTAATGCAACTAGTTATTGCTCTCTATTAACCCCCTGCCCCCACCAATTGATATTGAGTCTACAGGTATTACTTTCAACATTTACTTCAACTTTTTGGTCCATTTATTGACCCCTGTCTTGCTTTCATTGGAGCAGTTTAGTTTACTTAATAATACGACAGGAGCGATGAATAAAACGTTTGAAATAACCTGTCATTTGTTCTTTGATTTATTTTACCTCACGTTAGTCATTTGATTGCCCCCTTATGTTATCATTTTCCAGGCATTGGTCCGATGCTCGTGATTGAGTATTGTCCGCATGGCAATCTACGAGCCCATTTGCAGTCACTGCGTACAAATTTGACGCAAAATCAGGCAGAAACACCGCAATTCCAGAGACAATTGCTCACTTACGCCAGTCAGGTGGCCGAGGGGATGCGATACTTGGCTTCGCGGAATGTGAGTTGAGCTCATGGGTTTGAAACGGGTCCGGCATTTTGTTGCCCACAGACAAATGATGAATAGGACGACGATAGTTTTGATAAAATTGTTTAGACAACAGTTTCGTTTTGATCTTTTTCGCTGGCGTTTACATTCAGACGGATGTTTCAGTTTTGTTGGAGACCACCACATGTCTTGGGCGGGTCATCTGTTCTATCCTTCAGACGGAATAATTATGTTCCTTTTCTGTTTTTCGGCTGAATTCACTATTTGAGAAAATACCGTGGTTTTTCAAAACCTCAGATTGACGTACATATTTTATCTGGATTAACCTCAGTACGGAGTTGATGCCCGGATAAACTGAAACACTGTTTACTGCTAAGCGTGCACTGTTGAGATGAATGATTGAAGTTGGAAGATAATGTTATCACCAGTAACTTTTTCTGTACTAATCCCAATTCGGTACGTGTTTTTTGCATTTAAGAAACAATCATTGTGAGCTTTATACGATGCCGAAAAAAGTTCAATCACGTGATCCGCTGAGGAGCGGGGGACGGTTGATAGACTGAGAGTTAGCATGATACAAGCAAGGAGCGACATTCGTAATATATATATAAAGCCGAGAAGGGAAATAGATGGGAACTGATAGTTCAATAACAGGCAACAGCTGTGCTCCTATGGTCCTTCTGATGTCCATGCAACAAAGAAAGTTGCTCATTGAAAGCACAAAGGACTAATACCCATCTGAAATCCGTGTGCCTATTCGCAACTTGCTATTCCTACATTCCCATTTCCTCTTCATACACTGTCGATGCCGGTAAACAACTAAGAATCAAACAGGTATCGATACTAGCAAGATCATATGAACATGGCCGGTACCGGACTGAACGCGTTGGAGTAGTAACTGTTGAGGAAAGTTGTTCGACGGAAGAAAAAATACACGGAAAACGTCACTCACGGACTAGGTCATGCGTGTATTCTTACTGAAAACTGCAAGGTTTTTCGAGTTCACTGTGTTGGCCTATTCACAGCTTTTCAGTGAACAACATGTTTGCCAGCGGGGCTGCTGACGCACGTTCAGTCCAGCCGGTGCTTTGTCTCTCCACGTAAAACGTTCATGGATCATGTTGGGGGGTTTCTAACTGACCACTTGGACGTTGATTTGTTTGTTGAACCGGAAAACAAAACGCCTACACAGTTTCTTTGTTTGTTTCCCCTTCTGGATACTCAACGCCTACCTGAGCAGTTTATCACGCTCAATTTCATTGACCTTATTATAATGTATTAGGAAGCATGTCAACAGAGTTGATTTGTCTCCCAAATGCAGGGCATACTCGTAATTATGTAGTAGGTACATTACACTAACGAGAAAGAACGCTCCCACTGTTCTTTTGGCTTATAATATTTTACCGTTCGTCGGTAGTTTATTGGTGAAATTGATTCCCGAAATGGTACTGTTTACCGCACAGATAATCGATAGTTCACAGTGAATTGAAATGAAGCATTTGATAGTCATCGGTACGTTTCTAGTCAACCAGTCGTAGAAATTTATCAATGTCTGTTGTAAGGGATGCGAGCACTGGGCAACTGAACACTTTACACAACTTGCTTTTGGGAACACAACACACACACAAACGTCTCAGCTACACAGTCTCCGCCCCTCACACCCGTCCGCTGTGACTACCGCACTAACAGCACGTAACTGCATTATTGTTCCATCATAAATCATGCAAACAGTCGGCGTTCCTCAGTCGGATTCACAGTATGATTTATTTCAGAGATATGTGCACACATTGTTTCAGTAGTCGAGCGAACAGTGCAGTGAGTGCTTCCCCATTTGTTTGGGCAATTGGCTGATCGTGTCAGCAGTTTGCGTTTCTCTGTAGCGAGATATAATAAGTAAAAGTTGATGAAAAATATGACTTACTTCGAGCCATGCTGCTCAGGAAGTATTACTAACAGCACGGTTAGTGTCCTTGAAATGACTCCATATCAATATATTCTGATTGATCGACCAAGCAACCTAAACAGTCTTCGCTGCAACTCCTAATCACCTCATATATATATATATATATATATATATATATATGCATGTATGTATCACGCGACTGAGACTAATTTGCGCGCCAAACAAATCACGGTACGATAATCCTCAAAAAAGAATAAGGTTCGTGATTTGCTCCAGGGCACGATATTGCTAGGTTGTTCAGGCCAAACTAGGTGGATTTTATTGGGGAGTTCACACCAGGAACCTTCGGATAACCAAAGATTGACGCGCAAGGCAGTGGGGCGGTGTGTAACAACTGCAATCCATTGGGGTTCGGTGTACAGTGCATCGGATCAAATGCCCATTGGACAGGGTGAAACGTCCACGGTGTCCCATGCACTTCGATGCCGAATCGAACCGGTGACCATCACCACGACCAGAAAGGTGTGTGTGGTTCTTACGCCTGCTCTTGATTAGTTTAGAATCAGGGTATTGAGCAGAAACCCCTAGGTGAGGTACCAGTGGTTCACTGACTCGGTTTATGGCACCGGTCGGTAGCTTATCTTCTCCCCTTTCTTTAGTGGAAAAATACTTCCATACCAGTCAATAGGGCTTGCTTAGCAGAGGTTATTTGAGATGCTTGGCTGCATGGCGTTATGTCGCTAGGTGCATGAAGAGGGTGGCAAGCTAGAATCGAGGACACACTGACTATCGATCATACTCTGAGGCTTTCGGAGAGATACTCTACCTCGTTTGATATTCAGCGTACTAAATGTTGATCATGTTCTATAAAACTGTGCAATCATATGAAAACAAAATTGTAGATTTTACCAATTCGTCTTCCTATAAACGCTCAACATTGATCGCAAAAAGGCCATGGATTCTACTACTCGAACGAAATTCGCCAAGCGGCAATTTGCCATTCAACATCAACGTTTTCCATGTTTCACATAGTCGCTTAGATGTTCACAGCAGTATTAACGGCGAAGAACTTCCATAACACGTCATGGGTGTGAAACAGATTACGATACGGATTATTCATCGTTGAGAAATCGAGAAAACCTTTGAAATCAAACCAGCTTTTTTCACCTGACAAATTATTTAAATTTGTAGTGATAGATGCAGAAAAACGCATCATATGAGTGAATTGTACCTGCTACTTGATATTTTTATATTATATTTCACACACGTCCGATGCCATACTGTGTGCCAAACAAATCGTGGTACAACAATCTTCATAAAAAGAAAAGCGTTCCACGATTTGCAAGTGGGCCGAATACTGCCAAGACAGGGGAATTTTCTCGGGGGATCCACAACCGGAGCCTTTGGCTAACCAAAGCCTGACCCGCAGGACAGCCGGGCGGTGTGCGAAAACCGCAATCCATTGGGAGCCGGTGTTCAATTTATCGGATCATACACCTTTCGGACGGGGTCAAATGTCGAACATGCCCAATACACTTCGATGCCCAGTCGAACCGATGACCATTGCCACAACCGGAGAGGGGCGAGTGTGGTTCGTACGCCTCCTCTTGGTTGGTTTGGAATCAGGGTTTTTAGCCAACTGCCCTAGATGAACTGCGAGGTATTCACCAACCCGGTTATAGCCCCGGATATTGGCTTTTCGTCCTCTCACTTTGGTGGGGAAACACCTCCACGAGAACNGAGTAGGGCTTCCTCAACAGAGGCTATTTGAGACGATTGGTCGTATGAGAGCATTTCTTAAGGTGCAAGAGCAGGCTGACCAGCGGCAACCCTAGATACCCACCCCCGACCATACTGAGGCTTTTCGGAGATCACTACTTGATACACTTTGGCACAATGTATTTTTTTGCCTTCCAGGTCCGAAAAATCCAAAATTTTGCTCCGTTCGTGACCAAATGGATTTTCACGAATAACGTGATCCTCCGCTACTTGTTAGAAGGATAGAAAGAGAAATATATTCAAAAGGGAGAATGAAGAACAACACAGAATTTCTTCTCAGGACGACTTGCTATAGCCAGTTAGACACCATTATTTGTTCTCAATCTCACCCTTCTTCTCCCCCGCCCCGCCCCTCATTTACGACAGATCATACACCGCGATTTGGCTGCACGGAACGTGTTATTGACTGCCAAATGGACGTGCAAAATTTCCGATTTTGGTCTATCTAGACAGTTAGATCCGAACACAGAATACTATCTGCGCGATCGAGTGAGTCTACCGCGAAACGTTGTTTGTATTTCAATCTCCCTTCTCTGTGACGATTTCCTGTTAATCGTTGTTTTAATGTGGGTCACATTGTTTATTTGCTATACTGTGCCATCGTCTGGTCCTCTTTTGCGTCTTGTGGAATGTTCCTGTACTGTTTCAAATCACTTATACCGATAAAGCCTCGCTCTCTGTCTTCAGTTATCAAAGGCGTTTTAGCACCAAAGTCAGGCATTTAAAACGGCATCTCCCCGGGGTTATATAATGGGATGAGTAGACCACTGGTAATTTATCGAGGAGATTAGGCGAAACCCCGGATTATTGAGCAATAAAGAAAAGCCTAAATGTGTGGGTTCCAACAGTATTCACTCATTTGATTGGATGTCCAAATCTATTGTTCATTTCACATGACGTTTGAAATCTTCCAAATCGCTTCCGATTAGGTGAACTAGGTACCAACAACCGAATCTCCATCCATTTAAACAGACTGTTCAGTCGCTTCTGATGACCCAACAGTCCGAATGTAAACGCGTGATAAAATGCCACTCTGCTCCGTTTTGTACAACCCCGGCAATACGAGCGCTTTCAAGAAAAAAAACTGGATTGATTCCTTTGTTGTTACCACTTTTTTGTACTTTGATTTGTTGTACATTGAGACCATATACACATGTATGTGTATATTTGGGGAAACTTGCACGATCTGATCAGTCGTTTTTCGTCAGGTTCCCTTAAAAGCAAAGGTTTCACAAATAATAAAAAATCCCAAAGCCACAGGTTACCTGTTCAATGAACTTTCGTTCAGTAAGCCATTTATCCGTGCCCAATAGCTTTGCTTTCATGATGACAAAATTAATTCAAGAGAAATTATGATAACAGGTCTGCGCTCAGTAGAGCTGTTTTCTTCGTCAGTACCCCTCCTCTCTGCACACACACACACACACACACACACACACACACATGTTTCTAGCTGTATGTGTTTACTCTGGATAAGCAACCCATGGACACATCTGCCTGCAAGGGGAGAAGGTTGATTTTCCTTCAAACTGGGCTTCCTGATGATGATGATGATGATGTGGTCGATGGTAATTTCTGATACATATCTTACCACAGACTTGCTTTACCCTTAAGCAGAGTATGAAGCCGAATAGCCTGGAACGGGAGCAGGAATTGATTTTCTAGCATACTTTGTGTCTGTGTTCTTATTCTCCCTGTGACTGTATTTGTTGTTGTTGTTGTTGTTGTCGTGCCCCTGTTTCAATCCCCATCAGACTGGTCAGAATGGGACTAACTACAGCGTCATTGGGGGTGGGGAGTGGGTTGTTTCCCGTTGGTCACATAACTGGGCCAGATGAACAAAGACCGGGTTTACTACTTACGGCTTCTCGTGAACTCCCACAGCCCCGAAACAGTGTTCTCCTGTCTTCTGTCCCCGTTTAACCGATGCCCCCCCCCGCCCCTCTAGTCTGCAACATCGTGGATCTCTGCATAACAATAACTAGGATGAAATGATATTAATTTAACTAGGGTGTTATTGTTGAACGTCGGACAACTTGAAAATGAGTTTGTTTTTATTAAAAAGAGGTGTTTGTGCGCTTCATCCAGTCTGTGAAACAAATCATGATCGAAAGAGTACAGATACCGCCGGATCACAAAAATTCTTCATCTGGAAAAAAAACGCTTTCCCATTTCTGTGAATATACCATTCCATATGCAGAAAACTAGCGAGGGGTGTGGGCAAGATGAGGTTTGAGGCCGCGCCGAGTTCTTATTTATTCCCGAATCCCGCTTTCAATTTTAAAAGGACCCTTAGCATGTTTAAAAAAATAAAACGGTACCGATGGACAGAAAGATTGTGGAATTTGTGTCTGAACGGTTTAAACCTCAGAGAATTTTCCTAATACCAACTGAACGCTGAGGAATACAGTCAGAAATAAAAGCTCAGTGAACCGGTTTTCCCAATTCTTTCCGGGTTTTCAAAACAAAACAACGATTCCATTTTGAAGTTCGATATATTAGTCAAAAGAATAGAACGAATCACACTTTGTTTTCTGATTTTCGTCCGATCCGATTGTGCTTTTTGCGTATGCATATTATGGAGGCATAAAGTAGAACTAGTGAGGAATGAACGATCTCTCAAGGGGTGAAACCAACATCCAACAATATCAACAGTGCCTGGTACCTCTGAACATTCGAATGGGTTAACCCAAACTGGATAGTTCAAACTGATTAGGCCATTCGCACAAGCTGATGACCACTGACCGTGTAGCTCAGGGGTAACGCGGTAACGTCCCGACCAGAATATTCGTGATTCGTGCTCTGAGAGGATCACAAAATATACGCACACTGCTGACGAGTCTCCAAAACAGGACAAAACATCTGTCCAGTGCTCCTTGTTGATCATCACAAACACTTCCATTGCGTGTAAATGCATTCAACCAGTGGAGAATAAACCACCTCCCAAGAAATGAAATCTGAATCAACAACCATCAAGAGTGCTTTGTGCTCCTGAACATTAGAAAGGCCTGATCCAAACTTGATACCCTTGAACTATTGGTTTCATTCTTACTGGTAATGGTGCACAATATGGATAAATACAGAATAGATGCAAAGAACAAACGTCACTTTCGAGGCTGAATAAAAAATTCAAATGATTTCGAGGTGGAGAACAACCATTACCGATACACTTTCGTGCACCGGTTTGGTTGGCTGTCCTTGGGCTGTTTTTTGGATGAAACAGTAGGACAAAGATGGGAAGGTGAAAATAGAGTCGAAGAGAGAGTGGAAAATTCCAAAGGACTAAGAATGCAAAGAAATTGACAAGATGCACGAATTCCACTGTTTACGACATCCAGCCATATCACTCCGTGTCTCTAACTACCGGTTAAGATGATCCCGAGGTCCCCAGCCATGGAGCTTAACGGGACTCATGTGATCCAGAACTCCTGGTTATAGTTTTCACATCCTCATGCCAGGTCTTGGCTTGATCACCTTTGGCTTTATTCCACCCACTACCTGTCTCGGCAAACAGCACGCGTCATGGCAACCTGTTCGGTGACACCTGTATCACATGCTTCAACCAACGTAATCTATGGAGTTTGACTACTCGGGCCAGTGGGCGATCTGGGTTACCTTAAACTCTGCGCCTAAACCAAATCACTACATCATCATCACCAGGCAGTCGATAACCGGGATTATTTTGCGTGTACCACTGTAAAAGTGATACCCTGAAAAACATCGATAACAATGTTTGACGAATTGGATCCATTACCACTCTAATGAGGTGAATTGGATTCTAGAAAAAAATAGTCGTTTAAGCAATTCACTGATTCGGTTTGCAGACCAGAGTGGGGAAGAAGTTGAAGTAGAATACCTTGCTCAAGGGTACAAAAAGCGTTCGTGTAATCAAGTAAGCACAAGGCAACACTGTTGTATAAAAACAACATATGTAACCGAATACCGACCATGATCAACGACTCTGATTTGTACTAGATCGAATGTCCCAAACAAGCGTTCTTAATACTGGAGCACACCTGCGAGTTGATCAGTGAAATCAGATTTCTGATGCCAGTTACGGTCTTGCGGTGTAAACGCTCATCTTCAAAGGTTAGCANCAAAACTAGTCGGGTATATTGTGAGACACTAGCAAAACCAACGTCTCGATGGAGAATTTGCAATAGTTCAGAGCTGTTTGATCCAGGAATCATCAGGATACAGGTATTGAAAGGAATAGTTTGAATAACCAGAATACGTCACAATGATCAAGGTGACCAAATGCAAGATTGATGGATAAATCTCAGCATTTCTGTTGATAACAGTGTAACATTAAGGTGTGAGGAGAGAGTTTCTCCGTCATCCTAATTTTTTATATACATAGTCTTGCATAGTGCTCAAACGTAAATAAAAACACTGTTCACATGGTATTTCACGTAAAAATATGAACAAGAATAACCTGTGGACAAACAAAACAGTACCAATCCTGTTCGAATACCCCCCTTGAAAGCAGTGCCGAAATCCTTGTCTTTATTTCAACAGAATGAGTTTCCCAGACATTTGGTATTCTCTCTTCCTGTACACAATGCGAAATATCCAAAATAATTGAAGTGAAACCCCGATTGAAGCCCCAAATTTACTGTGTAATAAAAGTGGGAACATGTAGGGTTTTCCAGTGAATTCAAATGTAAGCTTGTCGCATTTTGTCGATTGAAGTTTTATTTGCAGACGAGCATCGACTGTATGAATGTTTATATACTGTCGTCCGTGCGTATGCCCAACACTCTCCGAGGCCTTCTACAATTCAGCAGCATGAAATTTTATTTTGCATTTCGGCTTTAGCTAGCAATCTGTCATGGTCTAGTCGAACTGGTTGTTTGGAACCATTGGTACCGGTTGATAAATTGTATCGACCAAGAACAACTCCAATCATAAAACTGCTTGTAGTTTAAGAACCTTTTTTATGTTTCACTTAAGTCTGCTTCTTTAATCGTGCGGTTGAGTAAGGCACCGGGAGGTATTTATCGGAGACCTCAGGCCTCATATTTGGCAGTTGTGTAATCATAAGCAAGCAGTATGTACGACTGATCGTCTGTTACCAATGACCACTGCTCAGTTTTACTGAATTCAACTATTTGTGTTGGTCCAAAGTGGCTATAAACACTGAATCAACCATCTGCTCATTATCACATTCGTTCTTTGTGTGACATATTCATCCGCGTGATCCCCTCTCCATGGATGCATATGTATGCTATTCGATGCATGAACCGTAAACAATTACTTTTTCAGATAGACCTACATTAAAATAACAAAATGTGTGATTCAGCGCACATGATTTTGCGTGCCTTTTTTGTACCGGGATCATTCGGATAACACATTCATTCTTTATTTGCAAATTTTCGACAGTATTGCGTAGCAATTCTTATGTAGTAATTGAGGTTGTATACCGGTAGTGTAGTTTCCTGCCGTGACTCGGAATAACTTTCAATTTATCTCTGTCCACAGTTTGTTTTATTTCTCGAAACCACTCGTGTTCCCGTGACCGTTTGTATTATGTTTTGAGTCAGCCACTTGTTGGTTAAACTCCATTTGCGTTGAGATAAATATGTGAAATGGGTGTTTCTATCATATTTATTGTTCTTGTCTTTCTACCTCACAGGGAGCATTGCCTTTGAAATGGTTGGCACCGGAAGTGCTTGAAACAAAAAAGTTCTCACAGAAGTCTGACGTGTGAGTCTTTCTCTCGCCATCTGATTCTCCCGTTTCGCGCGTATGTATGTATATGTGACTTACTTTGCTCATTCTAATCCATTGTTTCACCATGAGATTTCACAGAAATGTAATTCGTCGATTGGAACATTACTATTGTTCATTGAAAATAAATAGCTTTTTCTCTGAAGTAGCTCGAGAGGGTATATCGGCCGTGGAAACCTCGGGTTGGTGCTGTTTGGTCAATGCAAGGTGGCGACTTGGCCGGGTTCAGACATCGGTCCACGCTGACAGCCGGTCATTTCGTTCTCCGATTAATGCCTTTCGGTTGGTCAAACTGTGATGAATACTGAACGTAATAAAAGCAAAAGATATCCTTTTGGGAGATTTGGGATATCATTGACTGTTCCAATCACGGCATTAAGAAAACACTTGCGAACAAAGCTTGTTTGCGGTCACTTCCTCCTCGGGCTAATACAGTTACAGTACTGGCCGATTGTGGTGCACTAAAGTATTTTCTTTCTGACGAAATTGAGTTTCATTGTGTTTATCACCCATAATAATGCTTTAGGTACTGACAATAATTTACCTCTCGTCTACTTCGATCTACGCAGTTTCTAGACTGCATGGTTGACAATTAAACGTGCGTGACCTTGGTTGCCAAGGTCAAATATTCTCAACATGAAAGTCGCAATTTGTATCAAGTATGAAAATGCAATATGTTCTAAAAGAAACGACTTAAGACTCATCCCAAATTATTTCCATAAACCCTGGCATTTCGGTAATTTGTTATGAAATATTATTTTATCTGACATATAATCTAATATAGCAGCTCTATTAAATGTCCAAATTAAATTCTTTTACAAACCGAAGAGATTGCATTGAATAAAGTTTCATAAGAATAATCTGTGTTTGTTAGCTAACTCACCGATTTTCAGAAATACCATTTTCATCAGAGTCAACCTTACAATCTAGATCGTTTTTGTGCACAGCTTTGAATGTGCGTAGTGTTGTCACCATAATGAAGCAAGCAGCTCTCGAAACCAAAAGTTCTCGTTATCTCAGTAAAAAGGACAGAAATAGAATTGCACGAGAACAAAAGCTGGGATTTTCCATATGAAATCTTGCCCAATGATTTAGCCATAAAAAAGAACGGTTTACAGGATAACTCACGGGAAAACAACACCAGAAAAGGTTGTGGAGGCCGTGCATCCAAACAGGGGGAATATCTAATTTGTATTACCCTAAAAAAAACATTGCAACTTAGAGATTTTCTCACCCGTCAATATTACTCATCTCAGTAGGAATAAAACATGGTCAGCCTTGTTGGTGAACATCAGTCAAGGGCACCATGAATAGTAGGAAATTTGTATCAGTAATGATGAAAATGTTTCTAGAATTTCACCAAAAAGCAATTGTCTGAAACAGTAATCGTTTATCAGGATAACGCTCTGTGTCATGTTTCACGAGAGGTTAGTACATTTAGTTAGGGAATCTGGGGCACTTATTATTTGCTTTCAGACTTCAGAAAAGATGTATGACTCTAAGGTCCAGTTTATGCAACTTCCCGCTAATAGCCCGGACCTCAATGTGATTGAAAATATGTCTTCTGTTTTGAAGCGAGAGGTCAATGTGCTACCTGTACATTGGACATTGAAGGCAAAAGTGAACTACGTAATGGAGCAAAAAATAGAAAACGACTTCATAACAAATTTGGTGGGTCCGATACCGAAGAGACTCGGAAAGGTCCTAAAGAACAAAGGTGTACATACACTTTACATCTGAATTATTATCAGTGTTTATTTGTTGTAGATAAAAATTGTTTTTATTCTCTTTGGTGAGCACTTGCCTCATCATGGTTTAGATGAACCACTACTGACGAAATAGGAGCATCCACTACATTCTGAACCATTCCATCTGCTGAGTATAAACCAATCAGGAAAAAATGCTATAAAGGCTCACCAAGACTTCTTTATTATTATTAAAAGAAAATTTACTTCAGTATAAATGATATTGCCCATACCAACCCACAAGTGTTTCACAGGGACTCGTTGCTTCAGTCTGGATTAAGCCTGTGGGGTTCAAAATTGTCAAACTATACTGTAATGGTCTGATGTGATGAGTAGGATTGGTTGATTGCGATCTTGTGATATGTACTTTGAAAACGAAAGGGCAAAATGTTTTCCAAACTACACACCAAAATCAAAATTCTCTGCTCTTTCGTTTCCGAACTATATGTCACAAGATCGCAATCAACCAATCCTATTCTTCACATCAGACCATTACATTATAGTTTGACAATTTTGAACCCCAAATAAGTAAATGTATTAGCCCGAGGAGGAAGTAATTGAAAAAAAAACTTTGTTAACTACAATGTTTTCTTAGATTTGGCAAACTTGTCACTTGTCAACGTTTCTCCTCATGACGCTAGTCAAAAGTCAACATTTTATCTATTTTACCTGGAATCTCCGTTTTTCCAAACTGTTTTCAAACATGTTGAGAGTATCATCAATTCCCTGTACAGCATGTTGTGTATATAACACCAGATAATGTCAATCCATCCCCCAGGGGTTTCTCAAATACCTTATTCACCGGTTTGTTGTCATCAGTGAGACACAGCATTAGCGAAACGGCAACTCCCTAAGTTGAATGTTTTTTTAACAGCCCACAGTTCTCGCTGTCACTCTGATAATTTCCGCCTACGGATGAAACAATGTATCCGGCTCTTCGGTGTGCGATTTATATGCGTCAGCAAACTGTCTTCACACCGACACACAAACTATGTCAATCTCAAAATAGCTGCAGTTTTGTTTTTGTTGAAAGCTCTGGTTACATAGTGAGCGGTTTCAACTCATTTATGCCAGTTGCGTAAACGTCGAGTGATTAGTTCATCAATACAAAGAGACATTGTTGCCTGCATTTCTTCCCGAAACGTGTATCTGCTCATACAGGTATTAATCAGTTTCGTACAACAGCACCCTGACTTTCATCAGATTTGTTCCTCCATACGGACCTCATTGATATTACCCCACATCAAACCCAAAATATCTTTAGTAATATTCCCTTATGTTTTCACTTCTATTAGTCATCCAATAAAACGTCTGACTTCTCGATTTTGCCGATGGTTCCTGGTGCATCCCAGTTTTGAAATAGAAAACCCTCAGTAAAAAATCCCAGGAGAGTAATCTGAAATCTGTCTCATCAATGCAACACATTCCGTGATACCCAGAGTAGCATGCAGAGGAGACAGCAAGACGTTCAGTATCTTCTTCCTTTCCAACTTGTTAGGTGGGATGGTTATTTACTTCTTTTGACAGGTAAAACAGAATTCATTAGAAAACTAGTTCTACAGGTCAGCTCTCGCTCCACCTGGTGTTTTGCTCATTAACCATCAGTGATATAAACCCCATGCCAAACGGATGGGCGACGCGATTTGGATTTGTTAGTAAAATCCTTACGTGCTCTCTTTTGTTGGGCGTTCAATAACGGCTTCATATCAAGTGGCCTGAGTGGCATTTCTGATTGAGCCATCATTTTCCAAATGGTGGCTTGAACGAATTGCATTTAATCCGCCCAGACCATCCTTTATATTGATTGTTTGCACATTTTCTCAGCTACGATCAACTACAACCATCTTTTTGCTTCCATATGATTGGTTTTGTCCTTATTGGTTTATGTCTTGGCGAAAGAGTTTCATTGGTTAAATTTTTCGGAATCTATTTCTGGTTCCTTCATGATAGGGATTTTACGCGACCAGTTTGCAGCCACATATTTTATCAATTTATTTAAGGCATATTTGTTGTGCATCGAATGAAATAAATATGGCAATTGGAATATATTTGTTGACCAGAATAAAAACCCTTATGAGAACATCAAGGTCCATGCTGCTTTGCATAGAATATTTTAAATATTCACCGTTTTTTCAAACTACTGCAAATTTTATTGCGACAATCAAGATAGCGTAAATTCAAACAGAGATAAGAGAAAACCAAGAGCATTGCAGTTTGACATGAAGCTCCGAATGAATACTCTTCATCCATAGCTATCGATGGGCACCTATGATATTGGAAATGGGAATGTATTTCGAAAATGAGAACCATGTTGCATGAGCTCGATCAATACCTGCAAATATACTCATATATGTGTATTGATAGACGTTTTCCACATTTGAAGACCATCGAAGATGCCGGTGCAAATAATGATTCCCAGTTGGCAGTCTGTCTGATCTAGAGTATGCAGACGACATTGTGTTGTTGCTAGGCGAAGATCCAGGCAAATTGCAAGCTTTTTAAGATAGCTTGAGTGCCAGCGTAGCCGTATGCGTTTTGCAATTGCAAAGTGAAAAATGTTATAACAAGACTGAGTTGATTCAGCACTCAGCCCCACTCTAACTGGGGAAGTAATGGAGCAAGTAGACAAGTTTTGCTATTTGGGCAGCTACATCTCACCCGGTGGACGCA